AAGTTTAAATAAAGTATTTTAACTAGGGGTGGGCACGGTACGGTATTGAGCCCGTATCGCTACAGATACCAGAAATTTAAATCGGTATGGTATTATGGTTTGCCAAAATTGGTACCGTACCGTACCGTGCCAAATCGGTATCGGTACCATTTCGGTACCAAAATGATACAACTAAAAAATAAACTAATTCAATATTCAACACCAAAATAAGTGATGCCTAAGTTACAAATTCAAAGATTCAACATATTCAATATCCATCAACATTTTCAATATTGAATATTCATTAACATATTCAATATCCAAATCCTAATCAACATATTCAATATCCAAATCAACCAAATCAATATTTATCCATCAACATATTCATCAAATCCAAATGGTTAAAACTCATGCATTATGGCTTACAAACCAAAAGAGTTAAACTTATGCCTTATGACTTACAAAAATACAAACACAATCCAAACATAAATGACAAAAGCGTTTGAGAAATTGAAAGGCAAGCGAGAGATAGAGAGCGAGAGAATGAAAAAAAAAATTTATATTTAAATAAAGTACTATTCGGTACGGTACGGTATTGACCGGTATCAAAATCTTGATACCGCTACCATACCATACTCGATTGGTACGGTACGGTACGGTACCGAATATCTATCGGCACCAAATGAAACGGTATGAAATCGGTATGGTACGGTGCGGTTAGGGTACGGTTTCGGTATTTCGGTTTAAGATGCCCACCCATAATTTTAACTGTGATAAAATTCCTATTTGTAGAAATCCCAATATATTAAGTGGAATTTAAGAAAATTCAATTTTTTTTTAATGATGCATTTTAACAAGTAACGATATTCTATTCAACAATTATTTTCCTTCTCCGAGTAAGAGGAAAAAAAATATTATATAGCAAGATCAAGTTAAAAATATTAAAAAAAGAAAAGAAGTAAAACCTCACCTAAAACCCTAACCCCAAAATTGAACCCAAAAAAAAAAAAACCCTAACCCCAAAACCCAAATTAACCGAAAAGTCCAGTTTTTGCCTTTCCCCTTCTTCTTCTTCGGCTACAATTTTTCACATAGCTAGCAGTTTTGGAGCTGTTTCGTCTATCGAAAGAATCAATTTTGTGATATTAACAGTGGAAGGCAATGGAGATAGATAGACTCGATGGTCGTACACCGAACCAGTTGAGGCCATTGGCTTGTTCTCGCAACGTCCTCAACCGTGCTCATGGCTCCGCCAGCTGGTGTCAAGGTTTCTACTTCATTACCCCTTGTATCACTCTGGGCATTGTGCTCTGTATTTTAGTTTGTCTTCTTCAATGGGTTGGTGTTCTTTTGGATTATATTGACACCCATTTCTGTATTTGTAATTGCTATACCTCTGTTTTCATTTTCATTTTGCGCTAACTAATCACATTTTCTCATGTGGGTATTGTTATATATATTTATTTATGTTTAGATTTGTTTTGTTCCTTTTTATAGGAGATACCAAAGTTCTTGTTGCGGTTTATGGACCTAAAGCAGGAACAAAGAAGAATGAAAACCCTGAAAAAGCTTGCATTGAGATTATTTGGAAGCCAAAAACAGGCCAAAGTGGTGGGTTTTTGCAAATATATTTATGCTTGCTTCTTCCTCTCTCGCTCTCTCAATGTTTTATGTCAATTCTATGAACAAAAGCTAAGCGGATTCTTTGAAGCCATATGGTTCAGAGACTGTATACTCTGTTTGTAGAGTGACACGAATTCTGCTAGTTCCGTCAAAATTTAAACATATGTCTGCTTGATATAGGAAAACTGGAAAGGGAATATGAGATGATACTAAAGAGGACATTGCAAAGCATCTGCATACTGACTCTCAATCCAAATACCACAACCTCAGTTATTATTCAGGTGAGGTGGTTTTACTTATTTGAAGAACTTTTTGTCTGAGTTTAGGCATTGTGTAGGCCGCTTAAAATGACTGTAATGCATTACATGTAGCCTTGATGCCTTTTACGATACATATATGTAGTATAGGATCACTTTAAGGATATCTTCGTTTTTGAAGTTTATGAGTTTTAGAGGGCTAGCGGTGATAAGTAAATTGTGAATATGTTATATAGGTAGGTCAAAGTTGCCAAGAAGTGTTAACTTTATTTTGGCCTTTTAAGCCTGTGCATGGAAATGCCTTTGCTACATAGGTAGGTAAAATTTCATGAATATTACGCACTATGTTTTGGAAAGTGATGAAGGATGGAAATTAGGAAATAGAATGTATGTTACCTGGTAGGTAAGATCCGTATAATTTGTGTTGAATCCGTTTTCTAAATGCTGATTTTGTTTAAAGTTATGTCCATCTAGTAATATAAGCTCCCATGTCTTGTATATCTTAATGTATGTAAATTTACTTTTTTATGTACTTGGTAACTAAGTCGCCAAATGCTTTCTTCAGTTTCCTTCCTTTATAAATAAATAAACTAGTTTACAACTTTGGCCAAGTAATCATCCTTACCTAAAGAACCTTATGTTTCTGCTGCAGGTTGTCAATGATGATGGTGCTGTATCCTTCAAGGTTATGCATTTTACACATTGAAATTTTAGCAGTTATAATAGGTTTATTGAAGCTCCGTTCTGACATTCATTGAACTTCTGTATTGCAAGTTTATTCTTTGATTGTCTTTGTTTGTTCACCGGAAAAAAACCTTGTCTGTCGGTGATCCTATATAGATGACATTAAGACAGCTTCTGGCGTTTAAAAAAGTTAACTGACAAAACTGGGCTAGTGTTTTATTTCAAAGCTCAGGATTCTCAATTCCTCTGGCATAAGGGCTTTTAAGATGCCCTGTGGATTACATTCATTCCCTTCAGATTCACTTGGCATATTTGTTAAGTAAAATTCCGTACTGCACACGCAATCAGTATTCTTTCTGTAGTGAATTATCACCTTGAGAATATAAAGATTTTGCTCGATTTTGGCGCATAGAAAAAATAAATAAATATTACATGTTGATATATGTAGAAGTGCCTTGACAACTACTTCTATAGCTTCTGCCATGTGCCATAAATGCCGCATGTGCTGCCCTTGTTGATGCCGGGATTCCTCTAAAGCATCTTGCTGGTAAATGCGACCTATGTTTTAGTCTTATTTTCTTCATTTGATGAATGAGTGTTGACTTTATTATGCTGGTGTTTGCAGTTGCCATTTGTTGTTGCCTCGCAGAGAGTGGATACGTCATTTTGGACCCTAGCAAGCTGGAAGAGCAGGTTTTACTTTGTTTCTTATAATTTATTTTACTCTGACAAACATCTAATTGCAGTTCAATTATAGTAAAAAACAAAGCCAAGACCGAGTTGCATTATTTGACAATTCATAAATCTCCATCCTTAAGATGTTTGAATTTGTAATGACAGAAAATGAAGGCGTTTGCATATTTGGTCTTTCCAAACTCAGTTCTTTCAATCCTTCCAGAAGAACAATTACAGGTTGGAGGTGAACCCATGGAGCATGGGATCATCACCTCTGTTACCCAGGGTGCAATGTCAGGTATTCCCCACTCTTCATTTATCCTTTTCTGTCTGTTGATATTGGACTTTTCCTAGTTTGATCCATTGGAGGCATATTGGGCATTTAGGCTATACAATGTGCGATCATGTAAATGTTTGTTTTGGAGAGACCTTATGCAATAGGTTTGTTTGTAACAGTTCTGATACTAGATCTAATTTGGGTCTTGTCTATATTACTCTAGTGGACGACTATCTTCACTGTTTAGAACGAGGGCGTGCTGCCACTGCAAAGATGTCTGCTTTTCTCAGGAAGAGCTTGCAACCACAGCTTCCGATCGATTCGTCTAAAGCCGGGTGATTTCACATGTTACTGACAGTAACCAGTCTCTATAGCAAGATTTGAGAGCTGTACGTGATGATCATGGAAACCCTATATGGAAGACTTCTTGTAATATCTTATAAAATGAAAACCCCACTAAATTTAATAGCCTGGTTGACAAGATTTTCGGTTATAATATCCTACAATTGTATTAGAAGAACCTCCAGACAATGTAATACAGTAATTTTCAATGTAGTCCCGATTGTTGGTAAATTATATTCCTCCTTTTGTTGTCGTTAGTTTTTGAGTTAAGATCATAAAAAATTGACTCTGAACAAAAGGCCGCTGGATAAGTAAGTTAAGCAGAGCAAAAGGCCGTTGGATAAGTAAGTTAAACAGAGCTCATACAGCGGGAATTACTTTGTGAAAAGCAGTAAAGCAGAACAAAAGGCCGCTGGATAAGTAAGTTTGTACGGCATTTACATGGCTTTGTTTGCCACTCCCGGATAATTTTGTCTGAGATTGAAATGAACCCACCAAATATGCTTTATTTGTACAGCATATTCCAAGCTTTTCAACCACTAATCCAGAAGCATTTGACAAGGAAAGATGCCTTTGACATCAATCGGATCTTCATCTTTTCACATATTTTACTTAATATAATGCTAACATAGAGCTTAATCTCCAATAATCCTTACAATATTATGCGTGGAAGCTGATTAAGATTGGTGTGCTGTTGATTAAGACTGGTGTTGTTTTGTAGCTTCTGCTAAGCCCTTAGGTTCTAACACCTTCCAGTTGTAAAATAATGGATGCAAGTTGTATTATTTATATTCGTTGACAAAATTGTCTGAATATAAGTGCCATATCTTTCAAACAGAGCTCGCACAAATTGCTTGTGGAAACAATTTTTTATTTATAATTTTGTTTGAAATATTTATCTCAAATTTTATTTTGGCTAGGGGAGGTGAGGTGGTTGGGTTTAGTAAAATCATTTTGAGCTTCTAGCATTCGTCTTGAGGCCAAACTAAAGGTGTTTGTATTGTATGTGTTTGCTAATGAGACCAAACTGAAGACACTTTGTGTTATATTTATATATAGTTTTGTGAGCCTTGGTTCTGAGAGATACAGGACGCACAGAGAGATAGAGATAGAGAGAGATATATATATATATATATATATATATATATATGGCATCTTCATGTATGTCAATTCAACTGAAGTGCTTTGCTCTTCGGAAGAAGCCCTCTATCTCTGGTAATCTTGAATATTTCAAGACCACCCTCTCCTCCTCAGCTTTCATGGTGAGTAGCTTTAGTACTTGAAATCATTCAAATTCATCTTATACGTGACCTGATCTATGTGCTTGTTAATTACAACTGCAGCCATTGTTGATGAGAAAAGTGGAACAAGTACTTCCCATGCAGATAGATGTCTCCAAATCTTTCAAGAACACTTCTTCAAAGGTGTTGGACTTCTTGGTTTATTCGATGTTTGAATTCGTCGATCAATCCCTGCTTCCATCTCAGGTAAGCCTACTTTCAGGTACCACCACCCTCCCACCTATTACAAATCATCTGTTAGCTATGTGTTTTTCATTGCAGAGCAACTTTGGCCCGGTAGACGAGTTGGGAGGAGAAGTTGTTATCACCAGCAGCATCAGAGGGAAAATCCCAGATGATTTTCCAGAGGGTGTCTACATAAGAAATGGTCAGTACTTAACACAATATTAATTTTAGCTCTCATATATTATTAGTTAAGGCTTTCAGATCCATGCAATATTTTATTGTAAGATCATAATCAGACAACAGATATATCCAAATCATTCTTTGTTCCTCTTCTTGAAGAAAATTAACGCAAGAAACTCATTCGCGAGGACAAATATATCGAACATCTACTATGTTTGTTGCGGATATTTTCAGGCAAGGAAATTCTGCTGTCGACTTAATATTTGACGCTTGCTTACATTTTAAGACTTGTGTATCGTGTATCATATCTTCATGACCTGCAAATTTTCAAGACTCAAGATCCATGAGCTTGCCAATCGGAAATTAAAAATTTAATACAGAGAAAGCTTGCTTGGCAGACAAAATTCTTATCCTAAATAATCCAACCAGTTGTCAAACTTCTCATATGGGTTTTTATTTATTTTAAATATTGTTTTTTGTTTGGACTTATACTTATTTGAGCAATTATGAATGCAGAAGGCGTTCAGAATTGAATTTTTGCCAAAAGAGGGAACCCTACTTGTTAAACAATATGATTGATGAAATCAGACAGGAATCTTATCTGCTAAATCCACTCCACCACTAAAAAACAACTTGATAGCTTAATAAGTGGGTGACCCCAATTGTTCCTATTTTTGTGTGTGGATGATGTTATCTTTTTGTGCAAGAAATGGTCCAAAACTTTGGAAAAAGCATGCAGTTGATGAGAAAGTGTTACTAATTTGCACCACGTCCATGTTACTGCAATTAATTATGCAGGACCAAACCCTCTATTTGGAGGACTGAAATCTACTAAATCCATCTTTGGAAGGTCAAGCCACATATGGATAGAAGGAGAAGGCATGCTTCATGCTTCATATTTTAGTAAGGACGTCAGTGATGGAAGCTGGACTGTCAGGTACAACAACAGACACGACGAAACTGAAACTTTCAAGCTAGAAAAACAGAGAAACAAGCCATCTTTTCTCCCAGCTATAGGAGGTGATTCGCCGGCTATTTTATCTGCTTATCTCCTCAATTTGGTAAGCATATATATTATATGTTTATTTTTGTTGAATATCAAAACCAGTAGCTTATTTTGGTCCTATCAATTTATGATGCTTCTCCTAGCTGAGGTTTGGCAAAGTGAACAAGTACTTGAGTAACACCAATGTTTTTGAGCATTCGGGGAAGTTCTACTCCATTGCAGAAAACCACATACCTCAAGAGATTGACATCATCACATTAGAAACTTTAGGAAATTGGGATGTCTCTGGAGCCTGGAACCGACCTTTTACCAGCCATCCAAAGGTATGATTAATTAGCCATTTGCCCTTTAATTTATACACTAATCTCAGTTCTGTTTCACACTTAATTAATACTCATTTTCTTTTTACTGGTTCAGAGAGCTCCAGGCACAGGGGAGCTGGTCACACTGGGAATCGACGCAGTTAAACCTTTCATGGAGATAGGAGTAGTTTCTGGTATTATTCATATTTTAAGAACACCATATGCAGCATTTAGTATGAGATTTCAGCCGTGTTATAACAAAGAAGACATCCTGGCCTTCTGATGCATCACATGTTTTTCCCTTTCTCAGCTGATGGAAAGGAATTAATTTATAAAGTGGACCTCAAACTCGATAGGTGCAGCCTTTGCCAAGAACTAGGGGTTACACAAAGGTAAAGCTAGTAGTCAGATTTTGTCGACTAAAAATCAAGGCTCAAATCAAATAGCAAGCAAGTTAATATAAGGATGTATTCTTGTCTTGCAGGTACAATGTGATCATGGATTTTCCTCTAACTTTAGACATAAACAGACTTGTCAATGGAGGCCCCCGTAAGTGATTAACCATTCTTAATTCCACACATCCTGCTAATTATTCCCACACACACACACACACACACACACATGTATTTGTGCTTGATGTGGCGATGCTGATCTGCAGATTAGTAAAGTACAATCAGGAAAGATATGCAAGAATTGGTGTAATGCCTCGCTTCGGTGATGCAAGTTCAATCCACTGGTTTAAAGTTGAACCCAATTGCACATTTCACATCATCAATAGTTTTGAAGATGGTGATGAGGTAACTTAACAAAATGGAAATTTTATTTGCAATTTTACCATCTTCTTGGTGGAATCAATCAATATAAGGAATTTGAGTTTGTGTGTGGGATGAGCAGGTTGTAGTGTGGGGTTGCAAAGCTCTTGGCTCAGTTATACCAGGACCTGACATGAGTTTGAATCAATGTGGGTGGTTGCCAAGAAGATTTAAGTCTGCAGATCCAAGTAAAGAAAACAATGATGATATTTCGGCAGAGGATGGAAAATTATTTTCTCATGCTTATGAATGGAGATTAAACATGAACACCGGAAAAGTCAGGGAGAGATATCTCACTGGAAAAGAGTTTTCCATGGATTTTCCCATGATCAATGGAGCTTTTTCAGGTGTTAAAAATAGATATGGCTACACCCAAGTAGTTGACTCAATTGCAAGCTCTACCTCAGGTAATTATAGATAATCCTTTCCCAAAAAAGAATAGAATCACTCACTAATTACTCTTATATCATACCATTAATTGTTATGATCTATGGCTATGTGCATTTCAGCCATGCTCAAATATGGTGGTCTAGCCAAGCTGCATTTTGAAGAGCCAGCTGATGTTTCTTTGGTAAATAAATAGGCCATCTACATTCTTTCTTTATCATTTTTCTTCTTCATTTTTATGTATACATATTTATTTTTTCCTTGCATGAATTACTAGAGAAATGAAAGCCAATTAGAGGTGGAAACCCACATGTTCGAGGAGAAGAGCTTCTGCAGTGGAGCTGCTTTTGTCCCCAAACAAGGAGGCCTTGAAGAAGATGATGTATGGGCCATCACTTTTGTTCACAATGAAGATACCAACGTATCTCAAGTAATTTAGTCGATCCATTTATAATAATATTACAAGTCTTAGTTTGAGATGTTAATTAATTTGTTCTTTAGATTGATGCACGTTTATAATATTAATAAGTCCATCGATCCTTTTCTTGTAGGTTTACGTGATCGACACCAAGAAGTTTTCCGATGAGCCTGTTGCTAAAATCACATTGCCATGCAGAGTTCCATATGGATTTCATGGAGCTTTCATGCCAATGTCATAACAATAATATGCCTAATTAATCTAGTAATCACACATCATCATGATGAAATTTTTTAACACTCACATTTTAGCTGCGGTTAATTTCGTGGTTAAAAATGTTGTGACGGATGTATATCGGTTGTGTTATGTAATGTAGAAGGAGCATGACTTGACTCCTTAATTGAGAAAAAGCTACTCCTCACAACAAATGAGATGATAACACACTTGTAAAATTCCAAAAGAAAATGAAGTTCAAAAAATTTGACATGTATCAAAACTCTATTTGTTGTGAGAAGGAACTCCTCAATTTTAAGAGCCAAGTTTTTTTCTTATAAAATTTCTGTTCGTCATGAAAAATAGCTTGTAATTTCATGAGTGAAAAAGAACGGAGAAAAAGTTGGGGCTATATGAAGCAATTGGACTCCTACGTGGGAGTTTGCGTCTCAAATCAAATCCTTCTCTTGAATTTTTTTTTTTCTTTTCCCCTTTTCTTTTTCGAAAGAAACAAAGCAAAATGTTCATTACAGGTAGGTAATCCAATTGGAAGCCAAATTAAACCCAATCAATCATCCCAGCCCACGTATATACAGACAATATAACCTTTAAAGGCATGCATATGTGGTGTACACGTGTGCATGACTTCCTTAACACTGTCTCCTAAATGATAGGGTAGCTATGGATCTTATGTTTGAAGAGACAAGCACTAAGATCCAAGAGATAAATTAAGAAATCTCCATGTCATGATCCAAACGTCAGCATATGATTCCTGTATAATGTTTGTGGACCAACCGTTGCTTCCATCTAAGGTTAGTTAATTAATTTCCTATCAGAGCTTTTCTTTTTTAATTATATTCTTTTTTATGCTTAATTCCCAGCTAATTACCCATTCTCCAAATCTCTTGAACTCTTTCTTGAACCATTTAACACAAACAAGTTTTTGGATGAGCTTTGTCCATTCGTGGCTTAAAATGTTAGCATTAGTATTCTAAATTAGAGGTGTTCGTCGGTTCGAAACTAATAAATTTAATAAATTTGCATCTTATCCAATATAAATTGAATTATAAATATTCCAACTATCAGTTCTTTATATTTGGGTCTCATTCCAAACATTATTTATTTATTATTAGTGGGTAGTTGATTACAAAACTTATTTTGATACCTTTTTTGTTTCATTCGTAGGCAGTCAAGTTGGTCTATGTCCTTTTGCGTCGGTGGTCAAATTGCCCGTTTGATAATCTCACAAAGCCTAAAGCATCCACAACTGAAAGTTGTCTGTCTTAAATTCATCTTTTGTTTCAAGACAAGCATTATTAACATACTACAAATTTAACTGTGTACATGTATATATATATATATATATATATATATTGTGCGGAAGCTCAATCAATATTTGCAACACTGTGAGTGAAAACAAATAACAACAAACATAAGATAAAAGGAACAAATAACAGCCAACAAGAACACCGAAATGCATATTAATTCGCTTTTATAAGTCTAGGTCTAATTTAAAGACGACGGAGTAATTCACTATAATTAAATAGAGGATACAAGTGTCTATCACTAAAGAATAAAAACAAATAGAGACGACTCTCTGTCTCTATTACAAAGTAGTTGTGCAACACAAAATGACTCCATCGAGAAAGCCAAAACCTAATGATGCCTACTCAAATATTCAATTTGTGTATCCAATGCACTCGTCGGCAAGTGTCCTCTTTTGAAATGGTTAGCACAAGGCCCCACAATGGATTGTTTAATATTGAGCCAGTATATATACACACAAATGAAGGGTTAGCGCATTTGATGCAAGATGCAACAATTACTGGCAGTCCCCTCTTGTGCTTTACAAGTAAATGGATCTTTTCAGACCCATTTCATCTCTGAGAGTTTTAATCACCTGAAAACCTCACTTTCCTCAGCTGCTAAGGTATTTCATTCATCCATTTTTGTTTCACACAGAAGCGCATATATATATATATATATATGTATGTATATATACATATATGATTTGTTTGTCATTAGTTGCGCACTTGTAACCTTTTCTGAACTTGATTTGACATGTTTTGATGACAGCCTCTATTCAAAGAGTTGCAGCAACTTCCAATCAAGAAGGTGAATAATGTCTCTGAAACCATGAAAAACACTTCTGGGAAAATCTTAGATGCACTTGTCAACTCCATGTTCAAATTTGTGGATCAACCATTGCTCCCTTCACAGGTACTTTCCAGTTCAGCAATGTCTTACTCAAACTTAGCTCTACCACCAGATATGCATACTTCAATTTGTTCTAGTTAAAATCTTTTGTTATATATGTATAAGCTTAATTACATCCTGTGCTTACAGAAAAACTTTGCTCCAGTTGAAGAGATTGGCAGCCTGGTTGAGATCAACTGCACTGAAGGAGAGATCCCCCCTGATTTTGCTGAGGGTGTTTACATAAGAAACGGTATATAATATGTGTGACTTCCTCGTCCCAATATTATTAATTTGTTATCTATATATTTTTTGATAGAAGCCATATTCTATTCTAATTATGGGAAGAGGGATTCGAACCCGGATGCAGAGTAGGGAACACGTCCCAGTGTTTATTTTTAGGTAAGATCAACATTAATTAAGTTTGGCTTAGTTAATAATGGCTTTTATTTTCAATAATAATCTTGCAGGTAACAATCCATTATTTGGAGGTCTGAAATCAGCAGTTTCCATTTTTGGACAATCACACCACAGTTGGGTAGACGGAGAAGGAATGCTTCATGCAGTATACTTTAAGAAAGACCAAAATGGAAGTTGGATTATCTCCTACAAGAACAGATACGTTGAGACTGAAACATTTAAGCTAGAGAAACACATACATAACAAAACATGTTTCTTACCAGTCCTACAAGGAGATGCTTCAGCAGTTTTAGCGGCACTTCTTCTAAATTGGGTACTAGTCTCGTCAACTTTTATGTATATATAATTTTTAAGTTTGTGGAAACTCATATGTTTAAAGGAAAATGTACCTATTGCCATACTTCTATGTTGTATTGTGAATCTGGACGACTGGCAAGAAAGCACTAGTGATGGTTTATAACTATAATTTAATTATATCAGCAGTCGTGGGTTACGCCAAGTTGGCCAGGACAGTGAGCCCGCCCTTGCACTTAAGTTTGAATCCCCCTTCTCATAAATTAGATTAAATTAAAGTAGATTATTGGTTGTATAAAAAAAATTATATCATATGCAGCTATATAGAACAATTATATATATAATTTTGTTTCTTGTATGATGTGGCAGCTGAGATTTGGCGCAGTGAATAAATACTTTAGCAACACCAATGTTTTTGAGCATTCAGGGAGGGTCTTCTCTGTTACAGAGAATTACTTGCCTCAAGAGGTGGACATCTCAACTTTAGAGACTCTTTCTGATTGGGATGTCAATGGTGCTTGGGATCGACCTTTCACTGGCCACCCAAAGGTTTTTATATTTTTTATATTTTTATTTATGTTGGTATTTATTTAATTTCTCCTATTTTTTCTTATATAATATTTTGCGTCCAGTAATTATAAATTTTGGTTTTGTCATGCTTTTGGATATTTTGCAGAAAGCTCCAAGTTCCGGAGAGCTAGTCATAATGGGGACGGATGCTAAAAAACCTTACTATGTTCTGGGGGTTATCTCTGGTACTCGGTTCGATTTAAAATAACTACATTGTGTTATTTATGCTGGAGAATTTTATAAACATCATGATAATAATAATTATTATTTCAGCTGATGGAAAAAAACTGCATAAGGCTGATCTCAAATTCAAAAGAAGTGTCCTCAGCCATGATATAGGAGTCACACAGAAGTAAGTATATAAATGGGTAATTCTTATCTAAAATGTAATCATTTCTGTAATGGGGATGTTTTGGTGGCATCAGGTACAATGTAATCATTGATCACCCCCTTACAGTGGATATACAGAGACTCGCCATGGGTGGCCAGTAAGTGTATATTATATGCAATAATTCGAGGGCATGCGGGAATGTTTTTTTAAAATCTTAACTATTTGAGCTACAACCCCTTATATACACGTAGTTCTTTAACAATTAATCTTATTAATTGTTGTCAAGTAGCTATAGCTCTTAAGCTAATGCTCGTGGTACATGTGTGACTAGATTAATGAAGTATGAAAAGGAAGGGTTTGCGAGGATCGGAGTGATGTCCCGTTATGGTGATGCAGAGTCTGTCAAATGGTTTGAGGTACAAACCAGTTGCACATTCCACATTCTCAATTGCTTTGAGGAGGGCGATGAGGTAATAATTAAGCATCATCAGACAACCTTTAATTCAATTATAATTACTAATTAATATTGTTATTCTAATTAATCCTTATATTTAATGTCTGATGACAAACGAGAACAGGTTGTGGTGAGGGGATGTAGGGCTCTCACATCCCTCATACCAGGTCCTGATGATGATGTTGGTTTCAACAACAAATTCGAGTGGTTCTCCAAGGGGTTCAATTTTGCACACCATACCAAAGACGTCTCTTCTGCTGATGATATTTTTGCAGAGCCTGGATATTTCTTTTCTCGTGTATATGAATGGAGACTGAACATGGTATCTGGGGAAGTTGAGGAGAAAAATTTAACTGGAACTGAATTTTCCATGGAATTCCCTTTCATCAATGACCAAGTAACTGGTTTAAAACATAAGTATGGCTACACCCAAGTCGTCGACTCCATGGCAAGCTCTACATGTGGTAAAGAAAATTTAGACTTTGATTCTGATAGTTACCCTATTGTCAACATTACTTGATATCTTCTTTGTATTAGGCATGGGAAAATTTGGATCTCTAGCCAAATTATATTTGGAGGAATCGTATACTACGACATCTGCGGTAATGAGTTCATGTTTCGTTCAATCTTTGTTTCTTCTTTAATTTTTTCTTGGCGAAAACCAACCCAACAGTTGTATCTTTTCCTTTTCTTGTTTGGTTGAAAGGCCCTAGCTTTTTGGTGTTGCATATTTATATTATGTGTGAATTGATAACATTATCAG